AAACTTTTTACTGATATAGTGCCTTCATATATGTATTTATGTATATTCATTTATATATTCGCACATATTTATGTATATTCACATATATATATTTGCCTATATTTATATATATTCATATATATATATTAATTGTATATAGAAAAATAAAAATATATTTGCATATATACGTATTCCCTGCTCTATCAGATAACCTTCTTATAGTTTATTAACAGCTTAATATTAAAAATAAATACGTAAATACAAACTTCAGAACTAAGATAAGGTATTTATTACTTTTCATCAAAACTTAGCATTTTTTTATATAGGAATCCATGAATTATTCACAAAAACTTTCAAGTATAATAAACCAGAAAGTTAATAAAATTTCTTTTACAAAGTCACGCCTATTACATGTGTCCATTTTTTTTATTTATCGAAGTTAATTATTAACATTTTTTAGTGGAATGGATAAAGGTTTAGGTCCTTTTAATAATTTTCATAATTTGAATACATACAATTAATACACATAAATGCATTTGTTTTTAAATGCCTTGTTATATATAAAATATGAGTAGTCGAAATAAGATACGTGCAACATTATACTTTCCAATGTGAAAAAATAGCACCCATTAAGTATTTTATTTGCTAAAAGACGGTATACGCAGTAAAGAAATAAATAAAGATTGTACTATAGGGTTAGGTGATTGAAGTGTTACCAACTATATATACACAGGTATATCTGTCAAACTGCTATTCCCAACTACGTGAACTTCATACGAATGACAGCTGTCAGCTGTATATTGTTTACAAGTCACCGCAAGCGTTTGCGTCTAAGTTTTATAGAACAAAAGTTATTCGAAATGGAATTCAAACGTAATAGTGTGATTATGTTATAGGTATTTGGCTGAAAAATCACAACCACAACCTATTGTTCTATTGTTAGCTATTGTTCGTGAGCTCAAACATCTCAAAGTCAATAAAATGTACCACACCGTTCCATAAATTGTTCTAATAGTACAGAAAACGTTACTAATGATCAGACGTTATGGTGGTGAACGAAAAACAACAGCAACATCACATGAAATGGTTTGGAAAGTAGTGGTAATCGAAGATGAATGATCAAAGAACTGAAAATATCTCAGCGAAGCATCCGACGCATATTCTAAAATGAGCTCAAGAGGTAAAACCTTACAAGTTCCAAAAGCTACAGGATCTGACACCAAACAGCAAAGCTACAAAAAGTTGGAGTCGAAAGAGCAAAGAAGTTGTTACGCTTGCACGAACTACGTACGTGGCTAATTTCGAAACATTGTTTTCTCTGATGAGTAAAATTTCCCCATGGAGCAGTTCATAAACTTTCAAATTATCGTTTATTTAACTGAATGCATTGCCGTTTACTGCCATTTGAGACTACGAAAGGCCACCCGAACTAATTTTCCATCTTAAGTTATGGTTTGGGCAGCTGTAACCACCGATGGATGCTCTCCAATCGTTTTCATCGAGCTTGGCGTCAAAGACATTGCGATTTATTGTCGGGACGTTTATTGTGTAGACCATGGACGTTCCAACAAGACTCGGCACAGCCTCAAAAAGCATCGTCTCATAAAGCACTGTATTATAAAGCACCGTCTCATAAACCAGCGTCTCGTGTAAACCAAGAATGATTAACAAATCATGTTTCACACTTCATTTCATCTACAAAATGGTCTTTGAATTCGTCAGATGCAATTTGATAGATGTACTATTCCATCTGGACCATTTTGGAGAGCAAGGTGAAACTTAAAAATATTCCAGTATGGATGCGTTGAAGAAAGCCATTATTCAGGAATTGGCCAAAATACCGGAAGATCACATTTGTGAAGCATGCAACTCATTTTTAAGCGTTTCAAAGCCATGGTCAAGCCAAAAGGTGGCCATATCGAGCTAGAGTGAATGCATTTTGAACTTTTGATTATTTCCACAAATTTTTATAATTTGAATCAATAAAAAATAATTTCACACAAAAAAGGTATGGTCGCTTTAATCGTGTAACCTTGTGACTTATGGATTCTTCAGTACTTATTTTTATGAAAGCATTTTTTTGTATATTTATATGCACTATTAGATCAAATTATAACAACTTTATATATATAAAAAAATCTTTTATAATCAAATTATTTTCCTGAATTACATTTAATAAAGCAGTTAGGATAAAGTTAAAAAGTAAACTGTAGAGCATTTTTTTATTATCACTGCCTGAGCCAGGCACCCTCCTAACGAAGGGTTTTCTGCTCACAAGATTTTTACTTTGATAAAACTCGTAAAGTTTGTTAATAAAACCCAACAAAGGGTTTCTTATTTTTATTTTTTTAGAAGATTTTCCTGATTTAAAAAAAGTTTACTTTATAAAATTCGTAAAGTTTTTTAGTAAATCCAATTGCTTAAATAGGCGTATGCAAGAAAATTATTTTTCTCTTAATAGCTCGAACATTAAATTTATATAAAGTTTAACTATATTAAAGCTATAATTGTTTCTGAGCAAATTGAAATATATTGGCACACAGTTCCAACAGCATTACTGACAACATCTGACGTTTGGGCGCTGTCTCTGATAACTAGAAGATTAGCTAGCGAAGAAAGGTGAATTATCTGCCTGTTTGTAACACCCTTCATTACTTTTTTAAACATCAGTGAAAAAGTACTCGCATCTATGATTCTTAACTCTATGGGTGAGTTTGTTGACTTGACTCTATGTTGTCAATAAAATGGTTTAAGACCAAACCACTCGTGTGTAGAGTAAAATATTTGCTCTTATTATTAAGCAGAGTAACGATCACCTCGATTTAACTTTTTTATTGATTTTAAGAAAAACTTTTGATGTGTCTAAAATATATACTTTATAGCAAACTTTAAGGATCCGTATGAATAGGAAAATAATATTGATTTTATCAGCAATTTGTATACGAGAGCAACCTGTAGTATGCCTTACAAAGGAAGAACTAAACAACTGTTAGGTATATTAAAAGACTGTATTCTTTTGTTATTGTTGTTTATGATACTACTTAATGAATTATTAAAGATCAACAAATCTTCTTCTGATGGTATTCGCTGGCGATCTGATCAATAGCTATATTATTTAGATTATGTTAAGTGCTATATGGCTAATTTCTAATCTTACGACGCACAGTATGAGAAAACAGAAATTAGCCGATCAAGAATTAATATTTTCGAAACCAGTAGAGATATTGATATGAAATTTTCCTAAAATGTAGTTTTTGAGATGATCTTTCTTTTAAATCTAATTTGAGCTCAAGCGGCTTACTGGAACCCCTCTCTAGTGGTGTTCCTAGATGCCTCAAAAACTATGATAGGTTGAATTTTGGTATCCAAAAAACCTACATCATAACTGTGCGACACACTTACACATTTTTTCTTCATTGCGTTAGATTTTGGAGTGGGGATTAAAATTCATCAAACACTTTTTACTTTGAAAATGTTTATACAGAAGTTTTCTATAAACATTTTAAAGCGTAGTGGTACATTTCTTTTTCATTGTGATGACATTTTCTAGCGTAATGGTACATTTCGTCTTCATTGTGATGACATTGCCATTGTTGCTGTTTTAATTTTTATTATTTTTATTTGTTATGTACATATTGTATTTTTCCAGAAACTAGAAGTAACAATTGAAATACCTAAAAACAACAAAATTTGTAACAACAACTATGTTGTTTTTAAGTATATGTTTAAAATTTAATTTAACAGTGTGAAATAATAAACTATTCGTTGCAAATTAATAATTAAAAAGTAAAACTAATGAATCAGATAACAAACCGTATTCTAATTATTTGAGTCAAGTGGTATATCAACAAGAAAGTAAGTTCACTCAGTTATTATTTTAATTAACTTAAACTGTTGTAGTTAGTGTCTTTGATAAATATTTTACTTACAGTTTTATTTTAATGAAACAAACAAAAATTTTCTTTTAAAACATATACCAATAACATTTATTTAGTATCTCTTTAATATATAAATGTATATAATAATGTATAGTATATAACTTATATATAGTTATAATATATTCTCAATGTTTATAATGTTAACAATGCGTATACACAGCTAGACACGATTTAACAAATTTGTGCCACTTAACAATTCCATTTTTTTTTTAAATTCTAATTCAACTTTTAAGAACTTATTTAATTTATAATATTCAATTTATTAAAATTTTATTTCATTAAATTATTTTTTTATTATATTTGTTCATATTTTTGTTTTTTTTTATTTTTTTTTTGTTGTTGTTGATTATTATTGGGGAAATATCTTTACTTTACTTTACTCTTCAGAAAATTTAAAAGATTTTTTTTAAATATAATATTAATTCGTTTGCAATGTTTTTCTAACTGTGTATATGTCTAATATAGACAAGGATTAGGCCGTTCCAAAGGATAATGCGTTTCGCTGATCTTACATTCCTATGAAGCTTTTTTTTTAATTTTTGTATTTTCAGCATATTTTTTTTTTGTTTTGTAAATTTCAATAATTTTTTTTTAATTTTAAACATTTTCAGCATTTTTGTTTTTTTTTTTTTTTAATTAAAAGATACAATCAATTTTGAATTTTACACTGAAAACATTTTGCTGTATGATTCAGTCTCTTCTACAAAAAATTAAACAATGCATAAATATTGATTCTCGAACTTTATATTTTGTATGACAGCAGGTAATCATTAAAAAAAAAGCGCAATTGTAAGAAATATATAAAGTTAAATGATAAGCACATGATGTATATATTGTATTGTATATAAATATATCAGCGAAAAATATATAAAGGTAAACATTATTAAAATTTTAATAAATTTTTTTTTCTTTTTGTTTAATCAAAAAATGGTAGTGACTGCAAATTTATTAATTTTAACTTGAAATGCATTTTCTGTTATCTTGTTTTTGTTTTTTTTTTGTTTGTTTGGTCTTCTTTAAATTAATTTTTATTTTAATTTTAATTAATATTTATTTTAATTTCAATTTATTTTAATTATTAATTTTTATTTTAATTTTTTTGTCTTTAATTGTGTTAGTCTTTTATTGTTAGTTAAGCTGCTTTTTTTTAATATTCGTTTCTTTTTCTTCTTATAAAAGTTTGTTTGTTCTTATACTTAAATTAAATTAAATTTTAATATTTATTTTAAATTGTTTGCATTTTTTGTTCTCGACATTCTCGTCATATTGAAGAAACGCGCTTCGAATTTAAATATTTACTTTAACATCACGCGCGAATTGCGATTGGGGAAGTGGCTGTTTCTTGACCTCCTGAGGTTCTTCATGCTCATGCTCTTCCTCGTCTTCGCAAATGCTTTCATGATGCTTACGTGAATCGCGCTTACGCATATAATTAATCAATGGACGCTTCTTGTGCTCCTTGCAGAAAGGGCACTCCTTCTTTTGAGCTTTCTCAGATTTTATTTGATTGCACTTCTCTACAAAGACAAAGAAAAATAATAATTTAATTTATATTTATAATAGGATTCTGTGTATAAAAAGCATTATTTTTTACATGATTTTTATTTACACTAATTTTATTTTAACCATTTAGATTATTAATTTAAAAAAAAAGGTTTTTCGAACAGCAGTAAACTACAACAACAAAAATTCCTTTTTATATTGTTTTAATTAATTCAATTTTGGGGTGACCCTAAAGCTGTTTTGAGTATTACCAAATAACCATCATCAGTGGTCTTGGAAATAATTTTTGTATTTAATTATTCGTAAATAATTTTTTGAGACTGCAAATTTCGAAGTCGTGCCCTGCCAAATTTGAAGCTCAGAGTCGGCCTTCATTAGCCAACTGATCCAAAGCCGTACTTGACTTTTATGTTTGCACATTTTTCTGGAGTTTTGTTAATTTGCTTTGAAAGTTTTATTAACAAATTCACTTGCTGTGTTTATATTAGAACGAAACCATAAACCAGCTGTAGCATAATTGAATTAATTAATCATATTTTTATTTTTAATTGTTAAATTTCAATACTAAACTGTTTGAGGCATTATTAATAATAAGTATTATTATTAATTTTATTTATTGTTTATTTAAATTAAAGTACTTATTGAATTAATTAATTATATTTTTATTTTTAACTGTTAAATTTCAATACTATTCTGTTTGAGGCATTATTTATAATAAGTATTATTATTAATTTTATTTATTTTTTATTTAAATTAAAGTACTTATCGCTTAAAATGTTCAATTTAATCAGTATTACTTTTACTTATCAGTTATTTTATTTATATATAGTGCATTATTATTATTATTATTATTTGTTCTTAATTAATTAAGAACAAATTCTTAATTAAAATAATAATTGCTAAAACTTTAATGTTTTTAGTATTAATGTTAATAATTCGTAGTTTCAAATATAATGATAAATTTATTTATATTAATAATTTTTCTTTTTATTGCATACTATTGTTTGCTTACCATAAAAAATTTATTTTTATTATTGTTACAAGTTTGATTTTTTTTATTATTAATCTTAATCTTAATTAATTTTAGTTTAATTTATAATATTTACTTTATTTATATTAATAATTTTGTTTTTTAGTTATATACTATTTTTATAATAATTAATTTACACTATTGTTAAAATTTTAATTTTTATATTTATCATTAATGTTCATAATTCATAGTTCAGTTTTTAATATCAAGTTTATTTATATTATTATAAATTTTGTTTTTAATTATTTACTATATATATTTATTACATAATAGTTGTTTTTTTAATATTATTTTTATTTATACTATATAAATAATTCTTATTCCGGATACATTTATATCGCACATTCTATAGTGTCTTGATTAATTCTTTAATTAAATTTACTAAAGCTTGAGGGTTATATTGTAAAAAATAATAATTTGTTTAATGAATAACAATATCATTAAGTGCCCTTCAAAAAAGTTGTAGAACACCTATATTTTTCTAATTAACAATTATAATATTCAAAAAACTATTTTCTAACTACAATTTAAATATACATATATTTTACACAATACTGGTTCATGCTTATTATTTAAAATTTACATAATTACTGTTTATGAAGTATAAACGTATAAAAATTAAAAAAGATAATATTTTTTTATTATCAGAGCAGTTTTAAATAATAGTCAGTATATACAGTTATTTTATTCAAATTACACGTATAAGTATACGTGTAATTACAACTGTTTTTCTGTTCAAGTAATCTAAAAATATTTCATACTTTGTCTGATGTGAAATGCTTTCTGAACTTACTTTAGAATTTTAATTAATAGTATGGTAAAATGTTAAACTGTTAGATTGTTAATATGTTAAAAAAAAGATATAGGCAATATGGTGATGTTGTTGAGCGCGAAAAAGAATTGTACGTGGCTTTGAGTCAGTTGGTTAGGGTGCGCTGACTCTGAGCTTCAAGTTTGGTAGGGCACGATTTCAATCTGTGATACTTGCAGTCTCAAAAAAAATAATTTACGAATAATTATATACAAGACTTATTTCCAAGACCACTGATGATGGGTATTTGGCAATACTTGAAACAGCTGTATGTTCAGCCAAAAATTCAATTAATTAAATAAATAATATAAAATGAATTTTTTGTTGTTGTAGTTTACTAGTTTTCGAAAAAACCTCTTTATTAAATATAATTTAAATTTATAAAAGATGTTTTAAGTCGGTGTTTAGTGTTTAATTAAATTAATATAGGGAGACATACATTAAGACCGAAAAGTTTTCGGAAATTCTCATTTAAAATTCGCGCGCTGTATATTTTTCGATATTTTAAGTTTATGTAGTTTGGCAGCACTGTCCTTAATTACTATGCCAAAAATGAGCGCGATCTGTCAGACAGTTCGTTTACGGCAGCTGTTGAAACCAGTTCACCTCAGTAGTGCGTTGCGAAAAAAACAATGGAAAAAAATATTGAACAAAGAGTTTGCATCAAATTTTGTGTTTCGAACGAAATTTCGTGTGCAGAATCGTTGCGAATGCTACAAAAGGCTTATGGGGAATCAGTTTTATCGAAAACTCAAGTTTATGAGTGGTACAAAGCCTTTCAGGACGGTCGTACGACCGTCGAAGACATTTCGCAACGCACTACTGAGGTGAACTGGTTTCAACAGCTGCCGTAAACGAACTGTCTGACAGATCGCTCTCATTTTTTGCATAGTAATTAAGGACAGTGCTGCCAAACTACATAAACTTAAAATATCGAAAAATATACAGCGCGCGAATTTTAAATGAGAATTTCCGAAAACTTTTCAGTCTTAATGTATATGAAGTCTTTAATTTATAAAAAATATTTTTCAACGAAGAATTAAAATTAGGACTTTATAGGATTCAAAAAGTAGTTTCAAAAAAAAATCTTCCGCCGCTTTAGACAATAATACACTTGTACAAAACATGTTTTTAGCAAAATATATAAGAATGTACGCTAACTATAATATTTAAATTTTTATTTTAAATTTAACTTCAAGTATCCAGTATTTAGATCATTTTAATAATTTTCTATTTGTAATAATTTATAATAATTTAGTATCTATATAATTAAAGACAATTAAAGTTGATTAAAGATACAAGGCAGTTTTAATGTATACTACCACAATTAAACTATTAATCTGTGCGCCCACAGTCTGAGAATATCTTTACGATGTACTACGTGTACCATTTCCATTGCAATGTTTTATACTTTAACCTTCAAAAGTTTAACTATTCTTGAGATTTTTTAATATAATTAAGAAAAATATTTAACTACCGCAACTTTATATAAATCAAATAGAGAGAAAAGTTAATTTTTTTTTCTAATTTAATCATTTTTTAAATCATTTCCAGGCAATTCAAAAACAAATTCTTGTGAAGAATATATTTTTGTATTATGTCATTCTTTGCAAAAAGATAAATGCTATAAATTGCCGGTTATCTATATGATTCAATTAAACCAACGCTATATAAAGAGGCGCAGCAGCAGACTGAGAAAAATTAAAATTATAATAGAAATATTATATTCGTATGTCTGTCCGTCTGTTATAGGATGAATAAATCACCGTGTATGCTTACTACAGATTCACCGCGTAATCAAATACACTGTGAGAGCCTTTTATATCAAACGAAATACTTATCAGTCAAATAAGCGTGTCAGGGTTTAAGTAATATGTTTCTTTTTTAAAATTTTTTTTTTCTTTTATTATTTTTTATTTAAAAATTTAATTTTATATATATATATATAGAAAAATAAACAAATTTTAAAATAAAAATTGCATCAATTCTTCTTGCTGCGCATGGACGCAATATTATATCTGTCACTCATACGCTATGAGTCATTTTATGGTTTGTGTAAGGAGGAATATGAATGAAGTAATACAGATTGCGCATCACGTATTTCTACAGAGTGAATTGCCAGAAGGCGCAATATAACTACTCATAGCCTTGATATTAATGGTTTCCACACCCACTGATTTGGTTTTAGTAATCCCAATCAGTTATGCATTTTATTGGTTTTTCTTTTTCATTTGAAACGAATGTAGTGATAGCAATTAAATGATTCAATATGGTAACAGTAAAGCAGGAAATAATAGAATTATATAGAGCAATAAAATGAAAGAAAAAAAAAGTATCTGTATAGAATTTTCTTAAACTGTTTAATAAAATTAAATAATGCTAATTTTAAGGAATCAAAAAATTTATATGATTTATACAAATTTTATAATTCGTATAGTATTTAAATTATTGCAGTTTCGAATTATAAAAATTCTGCTTTATATTAAATATTCGAGTATTCGATATATTCAGAAGAAATATTTTTTTACCCCTTCACTTTCAACAATATGAACGGATGATCAATTTTTAACTATTTTCAACATGTAAAATGTATATTGATAATATTTTTTTTCTTGATTTTTCAAATGAAAAGCTTTATTTTTGATTTTAAGTCCAATTATAACGAAAGAAATTATTTTCTTAATAGAAACTATTTTTCTAATAGAGAGGTTTTCGAACACTAGCGAATTGCAACAACGAAATTTTATTATTTTTAAGCAATTGCATTTTTGGCTGAAGGGGAAGCTATTTCAGTATTTCCAGATACTCATCATCAGCGGATTTGTTGTTCTAGAAATATTTTTGTTTAAAACTATGTGCAAATACCATTCAGAGTCAGTGTAGTAGAAGAGTAGAGTCAGTGCTTTTTTTTTCTTAATTTGAAATAACAGACTTTATTTGTATTTTTTAAAATATGCGAAAAAATAATGTAGATAAACATTAATTTATAAAACATTTTATTTTAACACAATTTTACAATATCTATTTTCTATATAAAATTTTAAATATATAAAATTTTAATAAATAAAACAAAATAAAATAAAATAAAAATAAATTAATAAAATAAAATAAAATAAAATAAAATAAAATAAAAATAAATTAATAAAATAAAATAAAAATAAATAAATAAAATA